CCTGGAACAGATCGGTATTTGACACAAGCGGTGATCTGACCTTGCCAGTTCACACCAGCGGTTTTTGCAACGTTTTTGTCGTACAAGCGAGTCCGAGCTCAGTCGGCAACGCTAAGCGGATATCGGAGTGCGATAAAGGACCTTTACCGCTTGAAGCGCATTCCAGTTCCTGTTGAACACGGAGATGACATGAAGCAGCTTTTCTCAGGCATCAAGAGAATGGAGGCTGAATTGAGCCAGAATAGCTCGCCTAAAATTTCAGGCAAGCAGCCGCTGACGTATTCGTTATACAAGTCACTGTGTAAGGCTACACTCAAGCGCAATGATAGTGGATTCTCTCATCTCTTTTTGACTTCACAATGGAATTTAATGTGCCGATCTGTGTCTGTCCAAACGCTACAGACCCTTCTAGTGGACTTAGTGGCAAAAGATGACAGCATCGAAGCTATATTTTACAGGACAAAAACGAATCAAGAAGGTTCCGGGCCGCGTGATCCTCGTCATCTTTACGCAAACCCGATTAGCCCATCGACGTGTTGGGTGACAGCACTAGGAGTTTATTTGGCCTGTAATCCACGATTAGAGCCTGGAGCTTTGTTTCCAGGATCTGACCCAAAGGTTAGATTCGGTAAGGCGTTAAGCAGCCTTCTCGAGAAACAGTGTGCTACTAAATGCTACGGAACCCACTCGGTGAGGAAAGGAGTAGCCACATATGCTTGCGGAGGAAGTACAAGTGGGCCGTCTATTGTAAGTGTGTGCTTAAGGTGCGGCTGGTAGTACAAGATAGATACTTTCGTTACGAGGCGGCTGGTGACCAGTTTTTAGGGCGTGTGGTGGCAGGACTACCTGTACATGACTCCAAATTTGTAGTCTTGCCACCACATTTTGTCAGCAATTCCGGCGCAGTTATCAGGTCAAGCGTAGCTGTTATGTTCCCACGGCTCGCTAACGAGACGAATTTGGCTGGGATTCTGGAGTTGTGTCTTGCATCACTAGTACATCACTCGGAGTTTTTGCTGGATAATCTCCCTATCTACCACCCTCTCTTCTCGTCGGCTATTTTCACGAATCAGACTATTCTCCACGACTTGAGATTACAGCTAGAAAGTGGCGAGTCACAATGAATGAAAGCAACGGGAATACCACCGCATATTAATCTGTACATGAAGTTGGAAATTCAGCAAAAATCGATCGACGCGCTTCCCGGTATGCTAGAGCAGCGGATGGAAGAAGTCCTAGAACGGAAAGGCGTGGCCGCTGGAAATATTACCCGGGACCTTCTTCGAGACGAAATCAGAGCGCTATTACAAGATGTAGGGCTCCAACGTTCACAGCCAGGCGATTCTGCCCAGGTAGCACCAAAACCAACGCGCGTCTGTTATTCCTGGGGCGGGAAGTTTCACAAATTGCCGAAAACCTTTGAATTTCCGAGCATCGATCCGCTGGGTGCATGGCAACTATGGTGGTTTGGTGATGACCGGCGTGAGTATCCACCCTATCGGACTATTTCATCTGCTGATCTGGATACACCAAAGAAAAAGGCAACGCTTTCAAAATGGTCAATATTCATGAGGCATATTATTAACGGCATTGAGGCAGAGGTAGATGCACCGATGCCAACTATCCGTGACCAAGCCCACTCCATTGAAGTGTTTAACATGGGATTCAGCACGCTAAAATTGAAGCTAAGCAAGCGTAAGCGCCGTAGTACCCAGATAAAGCTTACCACTGTAACGGGCCTAGAGTGTCCGTTACTAGCTTACACGTAATAATGAGGAAGCGTGCAAGATCCACGATAGTGAAACCAAGTGTTTAGTCTGAAGGAAAATCAACTCTGTTTTTATTTAGGTCCAGGGCAGCTTGCCCTGACCACTCAAATGCACATAAACCCCTTATTGGCTGATAATGGGTCTGGCTCCCCATATATCAACCAATAGGATGACGGCAGTTCAGCACACGCTAGCCGTGTGCTGCTGCACCTACTTTTGTAATATAAAGCTACCTACTTATGTAATGGTGTGGCCCACTACATCACCCCCCTCTTAAAGTTGCACTTACGCAACATAAGCGACGGGCGGAGAACAAATCAATCAAAAGGGAAACGAGAAGAAAATCGTGG